TGAGAAGCGTTTTCTATCAGGTTTAGTTTATTTTTCAAAACAATAATATTTGAAACTCCATAAGCTTTGGATGACTTAATAATGGTAACACAATCGGTATTTGTTCAATCAGATTATAGAATCTGTAGCTTTTTACTGTTCTCTTGAAAGTTCTGAAAAAACACATTGATTAATGGAAGCATTTTTAGCATCTTCCAATGACCTATGTGAAAGTGTTTTAAGTGTGTTTGATTTGGTTACTGGTTCACCTATTATTACCACAGTACAAATTGAGCAGTCGTAGGAGAACCCGCATATTAATGTTGCAACCAAGTCAGTTCTAAGAAAAATGGACATTAATTCAGGTGGACGAAATCTTTTGGAATCATTTAAAATCATTTAAAATCTGGTGCGTGAATTGAGTAAATACTAGAGACAGTAAAATTTAAGTCTTTTTCCATGTATTAATTGATGAAGATGCATAGCAGCTGCTCAAAAATCTGCCTTTTCCAGATAAACAAGTTCACAAAACTCTAAGCCGACTATTGCTGTACAACAGTTATGAATACATATATTTAAATTTACAAACTCGATGGGATAGAATGAATGAATAAATAAGAATTTAGTGAAGTAGGCTGAAGATGCAGGTTAGGAAGGCAGATGCAAGTTTGACTTTGTTTTGACGTCTTCTTACAATGGGAGGAAGGGCTTCAAAATATCACATTCCATGAATTTCCATTGTCAGTAAGAAAACTTTTAAAGTATAGAGCTAACGTATTAAAAAGCTATCACAAAAACGTCAATGATTGACTTGGCTAAAGCTCATGTCTCTTAAGTCCTGACGCTACACTCAGAGTTCCTCAGGAAGAAGTATTTCTCCAAGGTGTGGGGAATCATAATGCGATTGTTTTCCCCCATTCTTTCAGAACATAAATTACTGTTATTGATAATCATAGAAAACCTTCAGTGAGCTATTCTAGGAAATAGCACGGATTCTTATCTATGTGCTAGCTACGACCATTATGGTTGACAATAACAAAATCAAATGCTCAAAACTTTCCGAACTGTTGATTATAAGAAAGCACTATCATTTACAGTTTGTGAAAAAATATTGTGCAAAGTTAGAATAACAATTATCTTCATTTTAAATTCTAAATATCCACATTTAATGGATAGCCATCAAACTCCAAAATTATTTCCTTTCATCAAACTTCTTATCCATTCACCACTAACGTATGAGGACCGGTCAGTGGGATTTCGACACAATAAAACAGGAACCAGCAGCGTTGACACGCTAACTTGATTTACATCACACACGTCAATCATTAAAGTTATTAGACATTCTTATCAACCATTTTATATTTCGACGAGTATATACGACGCCATGATGATTATACCCTAGCTGTTTGTTGTTACGAACGAAACTGGAATCACTGGAACTATTGACGCTTGTTCATTTGTACGGACGCAATGTTTCCTGGCGCTTGTTAGTCTATTTTGGATGTTCATTCAAGCTACGTCCCGTTACTCAGTACACATTGACATCGTGGCTGCGACAGATGACAGAATTGACTCACCATTTATTATTGTCATTACCCTACACATGTTTACCCGTAAACTATCTACTGAGGACAGCGATTTTTAGTTGGTCTAGTTGTGGCTTGTGAGTGTCAACCACAGACCTGTAAGTTGTATAAATATTTGTTTTCTCCATTCTCAGGGACTAGGAGATAGGTTCTGGGATAATGTTTTGAGACTGATCGTTGTCGATTGGTAAATTAGCCATGATAATTGTCATTGAACATTGTGTAAAAGATCTACACAAATGAACAAACAAGTTTATCGGACAGATTCTGCCAGGCGTCCAGCTAGACAGGAATGAAATAGGCTTAACGTCCAAACTGATATCGTTTGGACTATATATAGACCATAGTAACACATGAGACGCTTTTTCTTTCTACAGATAAATCCACTATGTATTAGAGACGTGATTCTGACAATTAAGAATCGGACAACCCAATAATTCAGGGGCGAACAGCAAAGATTTCGTATTAACCTAGTGCTTTTTCCGAAAAAGAATATCAGCAATCTAGGAATATTACACTACCTAGTTCCTTACGCCTGTTACACTTCCTAGAGTATAGACCGCTAACCAACGATCCCCCGACCAGTCATTTCACTGTTGTAAGGCGATTCCGCCCAGTCAACTCAAGCAGCAATGATTCAAAACCGGATGCGTTTGACGGGTGTTGCTAAATTTGGAGGGTAATTAAAATGAACGTAGAATTAGACTTCCACGAACATGGCGTGACAGATCTTCGAGCACAATTCCTCACAGTAGTGAAGACGCTACCGCGCAAAGTCAACAGGTACGTCACACGTAGTGTGGTTAACTTGTGATATCTCGGAACCTGATGAAACTCTAAAAAAATATTCTTAAACGCGGAAATTGACCAAGGGGAACGTCAACTCGTCAATAACATGGGTGCACGACAAGGTTCAGCAACACGACGAGAGTGATTGGTCAACGGACCTATGATGACAGTCTGTTTAGACAGCTTTTCATGTCTAAGTCTTACCAACAAATGTAGGCAGTGCTTGCCTCATTTCAAAATTACGCTAAAGACGAGCTGTCTGCATCACTAAGGTGTAGCGTGGTGTCGAGTCGAGATTGACTATGAACACCGCTACCAAGAAGCTCGTTCCAAACGACTCCATAAAATTCCCGAGAAGCCAATTATCAGAAGGCAATTAATGGACCAAGTCGAGGTTTATTTGCTGGCGATCTCGTGGCATCGAAAGGATACCGAGATCGTGCCAGGATACAAGCTTGGTTACAGAACGCGCGAAGTTACAATCGAAGTGTGTGTATAAGAATGGAAGCATAATATAGCTGTCAAACAGAAGCACATTAAAACAAGCACTGGTACAATTGGTTATAATAATAATTGTTTTTATTAAACCAGTAGTGTTCTCGTGATAAATGTGAGTCACTACAAAGGCTCCTAACACCGAGGTATTTTCAGTTAAAGTAAAAGCTCAAATGACACGAAAAGACGTCACAGAACTTCGTCATACTCTGAAATGTTACCTTAGTATTCATCAGGACCGTATATGATCCCAAACTCCTTGAAGGAGTACACACGGAAACGATATGTCTCTAAGTTACGAAAGATAGTTAACTCTGATTGATGACGGGATCATAATAAATATAAAAAATCTCGAAATTGCGAAAAATCCCTCACTTTTCCGGGCTCCGAACTAGCCGACATGAAAAACGTTTCGCGAAACTTCCTAGCCTGCACGCGCTAACAGTAATCGTAACTAGCGAACATAGTCGTCCGTCATGAATCACTGATGTGATAACGGAAGTTCACTACCGCGTCGATACTGGCTCAAAAAGTAGTATCAATCTTAAAAATTCTAATGACCGACAGCACGAAGCAGTTTTTAACTTACAGGCGACAAATGGAGAACCAATCGCCACATATAGTATATGATACGTTTATCTTAACATGGGTTTACGCAAACTCATTCACTGGATCTTCGTTGTTGCTGTTATTTTTATGTCAATTATTGATATAGACCTGTTACATCGTCATGATTTGTACGAGTTCGAACGGATTTAACTAGACTGAACTACTAATTCGTCCGTTTGTTTAACCTCTTTTCTTGTTGAAGATTAACCCCACAAACAGTGAGGCACATAATCGATCCACCAAACGCAACCGAAATCGCCTTGAGTAACCAGCAATGTTACACACTGCATGACGACCACAGGACGAAATGTATTCTTGAAAGCGCGCCTACTAGCTCCCGAAAAGCTGAGGTTGGTTAGAAACTAATTCTACCACATAGATTCATGGATCATTCAGTCATCAAACAGCTCTTGGGCATTGTCCTTGCACATGGTCTTTAGAAAGGAGAGCAACTGACGACTATCGCCGGCTGGATGCCAAAACTATTCCTAACGGTATCAGTTTCCGCACATTCACTATTTGACAGCTACCTTGAAAGGTACAAGTGCTTTTTCGGAAATAGACTTGGTTGAAGCAATATAACCAAATTCACATGACTGTTGACGACATTCTTAGAACTGCTATCATCACCCCTTTCGAAATCTACGAATGTTTACATGCCATTCGGTTTGAGAAATGATGCACAAACTATCCAGGGATTCATCAGTGACATTATTCGAGATCCAAACACCGTACATGGTTATGCTGATGACTGCATATCGGCTGTCACTTTTATTTAAATTTCTTGAAGCTATTTAGTGTTTTCACGAGTGCACACCTTGTGATAGTGATGCATAACATCGTTGACAACAGATGGAGGATTCGTCGCTTGATGGTTTTGAGTACTAGGAAAAGGTATGATTGGCTATGTGCTTGATTAGGACGCTTCGTCCTAAGACTGAGGTCGTATCCGAAATCCATAAATCACCCGCCAAAAACTAAGATAATCGTCTTCTGAACATTAGGACTATGTTAGTTCAACTAGTAGAATCGTCATCTCGAAGATATTCTCAATTCCTGTCAAGTACTAAATTCTTCTAGTCATGTGACTGTTTCCTTAGGCAGTATCACTTCATCGACACTAACACAAGTCTGAAGAAGAATATTAGTACCCGTGAGTGGGTTTCATCAGTTATACTAGTTTCTTATGTTTATACTATTTACCTGTTAATGTCCGGTTATTTGGACGCAAGTGACTCAGACTTGAAGTTAGTATGGACTATATGCATATGCTTTCCGAATTTTTTTAGAATAATGTTGGGGTAATGATATTTGATTGAAAGTGGGATGGTTTTCCGTTCTTTCCTTATCCATTTTATATTAGTGAAATAAAATTTATTATGAATATTTTGAAAACGAAAAATATCGTTTTGGTTTGACGTGTACTAGTTTACAATACTTTTTCCGTTGCTGTTTCTTTTAATCGTGTTGTTTATGTGATGACCTTAGTTTGCGGGACTCCAGGGATTTTAGAAGTTTCCTTTTTGTAGTGTTTCTCTATTTATGACATCAGAAGTAGACGTAGATGAGCTTATTAGTAGGCTTCTGGAGGGTAAGTTCTCTTGAGCATCCTCATTTCACGTTCAGTCCGATCATCCAGACCCGGGACTACTGTAAATATGAAGGAAGAAGAAGTTCGATATTTATGTGTTACTTCACGACAAATTTTCTTATCACAACCTATTCTGTTGGAATTACAAGCTCCTTTGAAAATTTGTGGTAAGTTTATCTGTAGGGAGTTTTAGCAGTTATATAACCACTCTATCCAAACCAACTACTTCGCAATAAATTATGATCTATGGCTCATTACAACCGTCATTATTTTGAGTATCTCTTATCTCTCCTTATGCTTCTGATGGTTGATTGCATAACTGAATTCAGGTCAAGCATCGACTGCAAGTGCTTAGTGTTTCGGCGTTCTTTGATCGCTCATTTCCATAACATTATGCAAAACTGATTTAACAAGTGCATATTCCAAGGTCTTAGTTAAACACCCAAATCAATGTATTTTATCCAAGAGTTCTGAACTGTTTTATTTTATTCTTTACCGTGTTTTATATATTGTTTAAAGCTTGCTATCACTGGTTTAATGAATGTAACGAGTTACCTAATTATCATGTTAATAGTGAACTAATAAGTCGTTATGCTTTGTTTTAAACACCATATCGGCTTGGTTGGAAGTACTCAACTCCGTAAATTTCGATAACCCAGATTTGTCCATATTTTATAAGTCCTAGTGATATAGCAGGTTCGGAGGTTTTGATTATGTTTTTAGTAGGAATAACATTCCAGCCAGATCCATCTCCGTCTACGTGTCTACACGTTTGTGAGCGTAACATGAAGATATGTAATGGCATTTGTTATTAACAGATGGTTCTTCACAATCACTTTCACATTGTTTCCCTGTAGGTCTTTATTTCCTTAACTAGACAATATTATTTTTAATGGCGCACTTTCATTTTCTCGTTAGTCCAAACTTCATCTGACTGCCAGTTAGCCAGTCATATGCTACATGAAACCTGGCATCTGTGTAGATCGACTCAAGTTCCCATGCCTCAGCACCGTGAGATGAATCTGAGAGTAGAAGTAGTAGTAGTTACTGTCTTCATGGACTTATGCCTTGGAATAATAGTCACTACGAGTATAATCCATTTTTAAAAACCGTATTTCACGGCTATACAGTTGAATGGAGCGGACTGCTTCATGGCAACTAGTCTTTTGGTTGTCAGACAAACCTCGCCTATGCCAAACGTGATGTAAGTTAGTACAAGCCAACCTGACTTCCTGAATTAGTCTCAATATTTCGTCAGACACCATTAGGTTGATATGGTTCATTAATTCAAGCGCTCTCAAATGCCCTGGTATGACCAAGAGTGAGGTGGGCCCGCCCTCTCGAAATGCTTTCACATGGCCACGCGTATACAGCATCTGTTAGGGAAATCCTACTCACTGCCTTCTCGTGGCGGGGGTGTTTACGAAAATGGAAGGACGAAAAGCGAATGTCCGGCGCTTTAATCGGATCCCTAACCAATGGTGCACATGGGCTCCAGTATCCTTCTGGAACAAATGGTGTATGAACCAATCGTTGATCACCGGCCACCATGGGACTGCTTCTCCTCACGATGCTCCACTGCCTTGTGGGTCAGACTTTTAGGTCAAAGGCTCGGGGTGTGGCCTCCTAAGAAAACCACCTGCTTCGGTCTGAGCACCCGGGCAGTATCACAGCCCACATACAAATATAATGATAATGAAAATGATGGTCAGTCAGTCAGTCAGTAACAACGTAGAACTTCGTACGTACGTACATCAGTTCTAGTTGCCACACCACCTTAACACAGATGCAGTTGTCGATCCAAATCCCGTAGTGGTAGAGGCAGCAAGAGTGTAAGCAGTGATCTGGAAGATTAGGGTTTGGAGGTGTTATTTAAAGAGTATAATTCAGTGAAATAAATTTGGAAAGAGGAAAAAAGGGACATGAAGAATTCAGAAGATTAGAATTTGGGAGAACACAAAGAGTGGATGCACCTGCGCCATTGCAAACGATTTTGAGCCATGTCATTCAGGGTCTCTAACCATCGGTTGCTATCATCTCGCGGTCCCCAACCAGGTAGTCTACACCTATCAACATGACTCAGACCACTTGTCAGTGACTTCATGGACTTGTGCCATGTTTTGGTCTGGCCGCCCCTAGCTTTCTTCCAACCTACTCCTATACCACTGATCATCGCACGTCGAGGCAGTCGGTCGTTGGGCATATGTATCACGTGTCCCAGCCATCTCAACTGATGAAGTTTCACTACTTCATCAATTGATCTGCCATCCTTACCTAGTACCCGTTTCCTAACAACTGTGTTACTTGCTCGATGGTCCCATGATATACGAGCAATGTTTCGAAGACACCTATGATCGAATACTAGTAACCTACGAATATCCTCTACTCTTACCGGCCATGTTTCACTGCCATAAAGTAGGACGGGACGTACTGCTGCACAGTAAACCCGTCCGGATATCTCGCCTACGCCATAAATGACGCAAGTTGGCAAAAGCTAGTCGAGCCTTCTGTATCCGTGCTGAGATTTCGTCACACACCAGACCACAAGGGCTGATGAGACTTCCAAGATAAGTGAAGCGGTCGACACACTCAACTACTTCACTCCCTATCACCAGTTCGGGTGTCGATGTAACCCAATCCTGAAGCAACATTTTGCATTTCGAGGGAGAGAATCGCATCCCGAACATGCTTGCATTGTTGCTTAGAGTGGTCAGAGGACTCTGCATTTTGTCAGCGTCTTCACCAAATAAAACTATGTCATCAGCATATTCTAAGTCAACAAGTGAACCTCCCGGTAGAAGTTCAACCCCTGGAAATTTAGATGAGGAGAGTGTTATCTCTAAAAGTACGTCGACCACAAAGTTGAACAAGAATGGAGAAAGTGGACAGCCCTGACGAACACCACTTGAGGTAATCAATTCTGATGACAGTTCGCCATAAGCTCTCACTCTATCAGTTGTGTTCGAGTAGAGAGCCTGAATAAGGTTACTGTACTTCTTTGGTACTCCTTTCAGTGACAAACACTGCCATAGAACCTCACGATCAAGGTCGAGAAATACTACCATTGTCATTATCAAATATAATGATAATGAAAATGATGATATTTACTGGAAACTCTGTTCCCGCTTCAATTTACAGTCAAACAATTCACAATATTATTATTATTATTTACTACGTCATTTATTCACTCTCTTTTATTCCCACTTTGTGAATCCTTATTTTTCGACTTATACAGCACCTCGCCTATGGTGAAAACTCGGTTCTATCTAAACGTTCTTAAGTCACTGCCTGTTCGAAAATTGTATGCTAACACCAAATACGAACACTGAAGCAGTTTTCCTGAAAGCACGTGCACCATTCAAACTGGCTTCCTTCAACGTTCGCACACTTATACAGGTCGGACAACAAATAGGGCTGGCGATATCTTTGGAAAGTTTTAATATCGATGTTTGTTGTCTATCCGAAACCCGTATTCAAGACTCTGGTGAAGTACTACAAATTCGCTCTCTATCTGTCGCTTCACAAAGCTTGTGTTTACGTGCGTTTATCAGGGGACCCCGTGGCATCTTCGTCTGGTCTTGCTGGCGTTGGTGTCGCACTAAGCGCTAGAGCTGGGGCAGCACTAATCGATTGAATCCCCACTAACAGTCCGTTATGTGCTGTTAGATTATAAAGTTCCACCTTGCTTTTCATTGGCCAACGAAGTGACCGCCACCAAAGGATTGATGTCAGCAAGTTGGTTGCAACTAAGTATCGAACCGAGCTAGCTTCTGGGCTAGCTACCATTCCACCGAAAAGTATAGATGAGCATTGGTTGCAACTATATGACGTCATGAAAATGGCGAGTAAAGCCGCTTGCTGCTTCGCGAAACGTCCTGCTTATAAGCACTGGGTTTCTTCTGGTTCCTTACAACTCATTGAAGCCCGTCGGTCTACTCCGGGTGACCGTGAGTTTGACCACAGACGAAGGCTGTTACGTAATGAAATCGGGAAATCTTGCGTAAGGAACCAGAAGCCTGGTAGTCGGAGCGTGCTAATGAGCTGGAAGCAGCAGCTGCATCTGGTAACTACCGGAAGCTCTTCCAACTCATCCAAACCATTGGCAGCAAGAAGTCTGCTGTGAGTGAAACAATTCATGAGGATGACGGGATGCCAATCACTAACATACATCGACGTCTTGGACGACGGGCAGAATTCTTCGAAGGGCAGTTCAACTGGCCTGATGCCCCGGCAACATCGGTCAGACTGTCCTACCCTCCATGGCTGGTGACGACTGATCCACCAAATGACGCGGAAGTTCTCAGGGAACTCCAACTCTTGAAACGCTACAAATCGCCAGGCCCAGTTGACTTACCTCCGGCTTTTTTTAAAGATGGTGGTGACTTTCTGGTTAAGGAACTGACGACGTTGTTTACAAAGGTCTGGGAACTATAGAGTGTACCAACGTCGTGGAATGAGTTGATAATTGTCCTTATCCTTAAAAAGTGTTCCTGTAATAACTGTCGGGGGGGATAAGTCTACTTCCGATTGCGTCCAAGCTATTGGCTTCGGTCATACTTCGTAGGTTGTTCAAAACCCGAGAGAGATTGACTCGCGAGGAGCAGGCTGGGTTTCGTTCTGGTCGAGGATGTATTGATCATATCTTCACCCTCCGCCAAATGTTAGAACACCGTCATACTTATCACAAGCCAACAATCGTAGTGTTTCTTGACATCAGGGCCGCCTTCGATTCGTTGGATAGGACTGTTCACTTGGATTGTCTATTAAAGAAGGGTGTGCCTGAGAAGTTTATTAACATCTTAAAGACCCTATATACAAACACCTCAGGCAAAGTGAGGACATACAACCACCTCTCACCATTGTTCCATTCGAGCAGTGGGGTTACACAGGGTTGCCCAATCTCACCATTCCTCTTCAACTTTACCATCGACGGCATTCTGGAAACAGCTCTGATGAATGTAAGTAATGGCGGTGTGGATCTGTTGCCTGGAGAAAGACTTCTCGACCTTGAGTATGCGGATGATATTGCCTAACTGTGTGATAATACCCAAGGCATGCAATCCGCACTTAATCAGTTGGCAATCAGTGTCCGTAGGAATGGTATGTGCTTTGCACCTTCGAAGTGCAAATTACTTCTTCAAGACTGGCAGGAATCTGATTCTGCACTCACTCTCTGTAGTGAAGAGATAGAAGTTCGTGCATCTGGGTAGTTGCATAAGTGCTGGTGGTGGCGTGAGTGATGAAATCAATTCACGTTTGGTGAAAACCAGAGAGGCTTATGCCAATCTGGACCATCTTTGGCGCCTTCGTGATGTTAGCCTGGTTGTAAAAGGTTGGATCTACAAAGCGTCGGTGAGAGCAGTTCTACTCCATGCTTGTGAAACCTGGCCTCTCGGAGTTGAGGATGTCAGATGACTCTGTGTTCGATCATCGCTGTCTCCGAAGGATTGCTGACATCCAGTGGCAACACCATGTTAGTAGTGCACCATCTTGAACCACGGACTTCGGTGGCTTGGACATGTTCTACGAATGACGTCCCAGAGAATTCCACGTCGTGCATTATTTGCCAACGCTGGGACTGGTTGGAAAAAGCGGAGAGGTGGTCAGTGTATAACATGGTGTCGTGGTATGACAGAAAGCCAGTGACGATCCTTCTGTAACCTTTTTTTACCTAATAAAAATTGGTTGTGTCTTCCTTAACTGAAAGATTTTTTGCGATTGTACCTTTTCGATTCTCCCACTATTACTATTATTATTATTACACTACCTTACACTAATCTGTTCGTTATTGTTCTTTATTTTTTTCTCTTTTCGAATTCTCATTGTTTTGTGTGGCGGTTCCCTCTTGTACCAATATTTATTTGTTCAAATAAATAATTCAAGCGTTAACGCAGACTAGTCAAAAAGCAACGTTTTACCTTTAGAGCGAGAGAAATGCATACCAAACATGTTTCCATTGTTGCTGTCGGCAGTTAGGAAACCACATTTTTTCCTCATCCTCACCAAACAACTATATCATCTGGGACTGGAACAACCAGCGACCGAGGTCAGCCAAGTAGGATTACGTCCAGTTCCCAGACTATCTACGATATCATTTTATCTAGTAGCCAAAACTGGACCACTATCCTTAAAGAGCTCTGAAGCTAGTCCATCATTGCTTATTGTTATTCCTCTCTTTAGACTAGCTATGGCTTTTTTACTTTAAGAGTAGGAGGGCTTATGCTGATATCCGTTTCAAGGGTAGCTATACAGCAGCTAAACTGTTCTTCAAAGAAGTCTACTGGGTCTCCTGGGTTGTGGTTGGATCATTGTCTCATATTTTTCAGAAGTATTTTCACAAACTCAGATTTCTAATGTCTATGCAAGCTTGAACACTAAGCCAAGGTACGAGCTACGATCTTAGTGAAGCAGCAGATCATGGTAGATTTTATGCATTAATATTCCGTAATGGTAGTCCTGGGTTGCCAGAGAAATATAAAGTTCGGAATCTGGATCCCCATCTGGTAAATTTCGTCTCGCTCTCGTAATTTTATGCGACGCCAATCAAGTGGTTGATTTTACGATATGAAAAGCTACTAGTACTATTGCAACTTAAATTCGTAGTAAGCGGAATAGGGATGACATTTTCTAAATTGCAGTTGTAAACATGTATGCAAACAATATTTCTGGCTTGTTTCATTACGCATAAGTCTGTACATCTTTTGTTTTACCTGTCTGTTGTAAATTAATGTCGATGCGCATTTCTGCAGGTGATATTCACGGCCAATACACAGACTTATTACGTCTTTTCGAATACGGTGGTTTTCCTCCAGAATCTAACTACCTGTTTCTTGGAGATTATGTAGACAGAGGCAAACAGAGCTTAGAAACTATTTGCCTTCTTCTTGCTTATAAAATTAAGCATCCAGAAAACTTTTTCCTTCTTCGTGGGAATCATGAATGTGCTGCTATTAATCGGATATATGGATTTTATGATGAATGTAAGTAACAATGATCAATAAGTACTTTTTAACCTTTAACGTTTAATGCGTTATTTATGTTACATCTCATTTCATAGCGTTTATATATGTCGTAACTGCAGCAATTTATGGGTTCAAGGACCAAAGTTTTTTCATAGTAAATGAAATATTTATTCTCATTGACTATCGATAGTTGGATTTTACTGGCATTTCAAACAAATTTCTTCAAAACACAATTCCGTTTAGCCCTGAAAAGCTTGGCAGTACCGCTAAGTTGATATCAATAGAGTTTAAAGGAGTTTCTGTCAAGTTATACTGTTTTCGGTCATGTTTCAGATTAGTGACATTTTTTCATTTGTATATTATTCGTAACGGTTACTTGATGTAGAATGTTCATATATATTTCATTACATTCGAAAATGAGTACTCGCACAGTATTTTCATTTTCCTAGTCGTTACGTTGTCTTTACTATCTGTCACTTGTTATTAGGTTGGGTGGATATTTGCCTAACATGAACTGTAACATCTTACAATCATTCATAGTCTGATTTCCACTAATCTTTCACAAGTCAGTCTCGCGTTTATGATTTCGTACAACGTCATTATTCAGGTAAACTTTCTAACTTGATGTTAGTATGTGCTGTGATTTTTATTGCAAAATTTAGATCGACTAAGACATCAAACATTGCTAACCATCCATAAATAAGGTTTGTCCAATATGATGGCTTTTATTCACGACGTTATCAACTAATAGATTAGAAATTGAGATTTCAACTAAGTGATCATAGACAGTGGTTATACTTCATTAGTTTTCGTTAACTGGTATACTGTAAACTGAAGACCGTCGCAACTCAGTAGACAAGCACAAAAACTGAAGATCTTCTATTTACTCAGGTCTCAAATACTATTCGTAGTTTACCATTAAGTTGAGAAAAGGGAACGTTTTATAAGGATTTTAGTGATCCCTTTACTTCAGTGTGAAAGTAGTCAGAAATACATCACTAGTCGATAGAATACTGAGGATATACGTTTTTGGAATCCGATTTACATCCCGGTATATAGTTTGCAGATCGCTCATGTACATAACCAGAGGTTTGATGTATCTAGATCGGATTTTTTGCATAAACGAATGATAATTCCCGGCACCTAAAACCTTTATATGCTTTTTTGTATTGACCGTTCATCTGCATTAGCTTAAACAGTTAGGAATTTATAATCAATCAATTTCAGAACTCGAAATATCTTCCGATTCTTTTACATGTTGTGATCCAGTAACTAGTAGGATGTTTAGAGATAGCTATGACAATTGTGTGCCATGAACAGTGAACTGGACGCATAGACGGCTTTTCTATAGTTCTCCTGTCGTTGCTTTGGACTTATAACTTACGTATCTGTAATATCTTGTATATGCTCCAGATGGTTTAAAGTTACACAGATTTTATCGTTACTTATCTTAACAATAGACGGAAAACGTACATAGAAATAGGATCGCTACTATTTAGTTATAGTTCTTTTCCTTATGGCCATTACATTAAATTTTGTTCGTGGTGTCCAATTTGTTAGACCGTTAATGTTTAAGCTGCTTAAGTTCTTCTGTAATAAAATTGTAATAGTAACTAAATCTGCAAGGCGACTTGAACCCAAGAAAAAAGGTGCGAAGTGTGTAAAGGACGCTTTACTCCAAGGTTAGTTTATGTACAGAAAAAAGAGGGTATTTGTCGTATTACAGCCGACCTTAGGCTTCTGGAAGCTACTGGAACCGTCCTATATATAGTAGCGACAGGTAAATATCCAATCAGAAGTGTGGAACATGACTCTTCGTCTCCTAGATGTTTCTGAGAGGCTCCTATTCAACTCTGATTGGATAAAATGTTTCCTAGCGTCTTATGGCCCCCCATAAAATTTTCAGAGGAATACATTGGAACACCCCAGCACCAATGGTACTACCTGGTTGCTTAAACTTAAGTAGTTGCAGAAGGAGAGAGCGTGAGGTCGAAAACTGTTCACTAACAGCTGTTGTAAAATAAGTCATCGCTATTATTTCTGTCAGAGGATCTGAAGTCCAAAAATGTAGGTTATACACGATCATTAGGCTCGATTTCATTGTGTTGTCAGAGGTAGCAAACATATTTGATCGTAAAAACCATCATTAACGATAGTTAATTAGGCTGGAAAAAATTACGTACGGATCACAAGTTACTATTATTGATTCATTTGAAGATTCTCGATGCAAACATCCTCAAATCATATATATATATAAGCGTAGCTTAATCTTTTTTTCAATCTAATTCTTGAAAAACCTTGCCCTCTCACTCTAATTTGCACACAACTTATTGAGTAAGAATTCGTACCACTTGACTTTAAGCCACTCTGTTATGCATAATGGCTGATTATGCAACTATCCTGTTATCCAAACTCCAAAGTAGTGGAATCCATGGTTCAAATGATGTATTAGCACAGTAAACACTATTTTAAGATTATGATACAATATGTTGCATATTTCAACTAAGATAAACTTTTTTTTAACTTTTCAGGTAAACGACGTTTCAGTGTTCGATTATGGAAAACGTTCACTGATTGTTTTAACTGTTTACCAATCGCTGCAATTGTAGATTCAAAAATATTTTGTTGCCATGGTGGTAGGTTCTTTTTGTAAATTATTTAGATTGGATCTAAAATTATATATTATGGCGTACATTGTTTGAGTCTCACAGTGATACCCAATCATCCTATACGTGAGCCAAACCAGCTAATCGGGCGAAAAGACTGAGAATAGGAAAAAAGTTTAACTGAATAAAATGAATCGGCAAGTGCATATATGTTGTGAATTTGGTCAACCATTTCTATCGACCTTAGAAACCGTGCAACAAAATAACTGATTATAAGGTAAATAAGGGTATTAGATGAGAGCAAGGGTCATTGTCAGAAAACACACTCACTTGTCCGGCGAACCTGGATTGCCAAATAAACGAAACAGCAGCTATAAAATTAGGGATCTACTTCAAGATTTTGTGGATGACCTTGCAATCCATAAAATAATAATCATTGATATCATCATCCAGTGTAAGTTGGGTAATCATTAAAAACCTGGAAACACTGATTGCTCGTTTTCCTAATACAGGACTCCTCTGCAGTGCATATTGACGAAGTTACCACCGAGAACCGAACCCAGGACCTTCGGTCCTTCTCTCGACCGCTTAACCTCTAGACCACTTAACTAGGGTTGGGTAGTATGGTATTTCACTTACAGTTAGATTTTTATATATTGAGTATTGTTAAGGCTTTCAATTAACTTATTTAACAAACAATATCATTCAATCAGTAACAGTACGTCGATACCTTTGCTTTATTATTATTGTTGATCATTATGTGTGTGCGATCATGTATGCTTGATCACATGTTACAGCCTACACACATATTCATCCATCTTACCAGCTTCAATGTTAGCTGATCAAATCACTCCTGTCTCATTTGCTTGCTGATAGGTATGTGGCCCTTAAGTTGCACTTATTCGTTCGTCCGCAATAATTCACGTTAACATTTCTGTTCGTGTTGGTTTTGTGTGTTTGTAGCTATGTGATGTGTGCTTTGCAAGAATTATTTATTTTCAGAAGGGGTTTGTGGAGATTTTAGATATTTCACAGATTGAAATCATGAGTCAATTGAAGCTGGACCACCATGGAAAACCGGGAAGCACTGGTCTGTTGTGAGATATCAGCTCACTGACGACAATGGTATACGGTGGCGCAACTTCGTGGATTGGTTGAAGTTAGACATTAACACCATTGGAAGCCGGCTCAGTGATCTAGTTGGCTTGGCGCGAGACTGGTAGGTCCTGAGTTCGAATCTGGCAGGGTGCGGGATCGTGGATGCGCACTGCTGAGGAGTCCTATATTAGGACGAAACGGCCGTCCAGTACTTCGAGGTTTCCCATGGTGGTCTAGCTTCAATTGACTCATGATTTCAATCTGTGAAATTATTTATTTATTTATTTATTCGAACACATAAACATTGGCACAAAGGGGCACTGAATACATATGCGCCACACAAGTCACTTGGTTTGTACGTGGGCTGCGATACTGCTCGAGTTGTCCAGACCGAAGCAGGTGGTTTCCTTAGGGGGCCACACTGGAGCCTTCGATTTAAAGGTCTAGTCCACAAGGCAATGGAGCAACGTCAGGTGATTCAGTTCCATGGTAGCCGGTAACCAATAATTGGTTCATATGCCATACGTTTCCTCAGGATCCTGGAGCCCATGTACACCATTGGTTTGGAATCAGGGTTTTCCAACTCCCCTAGGTGGACTCTTCGTGTCCAGTTAAAGCGCCGGACATTCGCTTTCCGTCCTCTCAATTTCGTAAACATCACCCCTGCCGCGAGAAGGCAGTGAGTAGTGAGTGCTGTGCAAGAATAAACGTGTTCATAGCTCTGTATTGTCTTGTTAAATTTTGTAGATCTTTGGGAGTTATCTACTGAGGGTTATTAAGACGAGTGATATACAAAGCATAAGAATTATCTCGAAGAAATTCGACTACTATGGTGTGCATGCGTAATGCTGAGATTTCCCTTATCAGGACGAAACGACCCCTCAGTGCTTTCGGGTTTTCAGTGGTTACTTAAGTTTGACCGGTTTGTAATATCGATAGAGTTCGACAATCTCCATAACCCTGTATTGATAATTAAAAATTATTGTTGATGTAGTGATAATCTCTAAGTTAGATTAGGTAAGAACTCAGAGTACTTTCTTTCAGAATTTTACCATAAGTATTCGTTGACCAAATATAACTTAAACGTTTCTCAGCGTCTATGAAAATTTACAGAGGTATTCATAGACGAATCATGCTAACCGTTTGAAATGTGGTTGTTCTTTATATCAAAATTCTTAGACACTTGAGATATTGTTTTATTAACCCAATAAGTTCATCTTTTAAATATTATCTATTCTTTTTATAGTTTCTTCAATTCGTCAGTTTGTTTTTTATCTAACTGATCCTGTTTAGTTAATACGTTATATATATTTTCCTTCTTCTTTGTCTCCCTTACACCACACTGCATGGTGTCAGGATTATCTCCAGATTTGCAAAATATGGATCAAATACGACGTATCATGAGACCGTCAGATATTCCTGATACAGGTTTGTTATTATGTGTTATGCATGTAGAGTAGTAGTGGTAGAACTATTACTGATTTGTTGTTGATTTTTTCCACTTGATTATATGAGTGTTAGCGGTGCTATAAGCCAGGTGCATATAAATATTATTTTGTTTTTGAAACAACCTAGTTATCTATTTTTGTAAATTGAAGTTTTCAGTAATTCTTGTTAAGATCTCTCTTCATACAACCCAGCTAATCTTATTGCTTAGCTTTCTTCGGACACTACTTCACTTGACTAGTCCCCAAATCCGAAAAAAATTGGACAGGGGGGAAATTATATTCCAAATAACCCTAGTTTAATGGGAGTAAAAATCACAGTACCAAAAACTTTAGTTTATTTATTTATTTGAACACATAAATATTGGTACAAGAGAGCGCCAATATTTATGCGCCACACAGAACAATGAAAATTCGAAGAGAGATAGAAAAAAAAACTAAGGAGCGCAAAAGAAAAAGAGAACGATAACGAAGAAATTGGTGTAAAGTAGTGTAGTAGTAACGAGGGAACGGAAAGGTACAATCAGAAGAAATCTTTCAGGTAAGGGAGACACAACCACCTTTTATGAAGAAAGTAAAAGAAGGTTACAGCAGGATCGCCACTGGCTTCTATTCTGAGCCATATCTGATAACATCTCTAGCCACTGTGTAGCACCGTCCCTCAGACCCCAACCAGGGAGTCGTGAAGGACCGACAGAAGCCAGTCCTTTGCAGCTTTCTTTCATACCACGACACCATGTCATGCACTGACCACCTCTCCGCTTTTTCCAACCAGTCCTAGAGTCGGCAAATAATGCACGACGTGGAATTCTCTGGGACGACATTCGTAGAACATGTCCAAGCCACCGAAGTCGGTGTTTCAAGATGGTGACACCAATTGAATTATCATCTCTGCGCCCGAACACACGATGCTGAACCTCTGCATTACTGACATGGTGTTGCCACTGAATGTCAGCAATCCTTCGAAGACAGCGATGATCGAACATGCCTTGGGCATTATCGCACAGTAAGACAATATCATCCGCATACTCAAGGTCGAGAAGTCTTTCTCCAGGCAACAGATCCACACCGCCATTACTTACATTCATCAGAGCTGTTTCCAGAATGCCGTCGATGGTAAAGTTGAAGAGGAATGGTGAGATTGGGCAACCCTGTGTAACCCCACTGCTCGAATGGAACAATGGTGAGAGGTGGTTGTATGTCCTCACTTTGCCTGAGGTGTTTGTATATAGGGTCTTTAAGATGTTAATAAACTTCTCAGGCACACCCTTCTTTAATAGACAATCCAAGTGAACAGTCCTATCCAACGAATCGAAGGCGGCCCTGATGTCAAGAAACACTACGATTGTTGGCTTGTGATAAGTATGACGGTGTTCTAACATTTGGCGGAGGGTGAAGATATGATCAATACATCCTCGACCAGAACGAAACCCAGCCTGCTCCTCGCGAGTCAATCTCTCTCGGGTTTTGAACAACCTACGAAGTATGACCGAAGCCAATAGCTTGGACGCAATCGGAAGTAGACTTATCCCCCCCGACAGTTATTACAGGAACACTTTTTAAGGATAAGGACAATTATCAACTCATTCCACGACGTTGGTACACTCTATAGTTCCCAGACCTTTGTAAACAACGTCGTCAGTTCCTTAACCAGAAAGTCACCACCATCTTTAAAAAAAGCCGGAGGTAAGTCAACTGGGCCTGGCGATTTGTAGCGTTTCAAGAGTTGGAGTTCCCTGAGAACTTCCGCGTCATTTGGTGGATCAGTCGTCACCAGCCATGGAGGGTAGGACAGTCTGACCGATGTTGCCGGGGCATCAGGCCAGTTGAACTGCCCTTCGAAGAATTCTGCCCGTCGTCCAAGACGTCGATGTATGTTAGTGATTGGCATCCCGTCATCCTCATGAATTGTTTCACTCACAGCAGACTTCTTGCTGCCAATGGTTTGGATGAGTTGGAAGAGCTTCCGGTAGTTACCAGATGCAGCTGCTGCTTCCAGCTCATTAGCACGCTCCGACTACCAGGCTTCTGGTTCCTTACGCAAGATTTCCCGATTTCATTACGTAACAGCCTTCGTCTGTGGTCAAACTCACGGTCACCCGGAGTAGACCGACGGGCTTCAATGAGTTGTAAGGAACCAGAAGAAACCCAGTGCTTATAAGCAGGACGTTTCGCGAAGCAGCAAGCGGCTTTACTCGCCATTTTCATGACGTCATATAGTTGCAACCAATGCTCATCTATACTTTTCGGTGGAATGGTAGCTAGCCTAGAGGCTAGCTCGGTTCGATACTTATTTGCAACAGAATTTGCAACCAGCTTGCTAATATCAATCCTTTGGTGGCGGTCACTTCGTTGTCCACTGAAAAGTAAGGCAAGATTGGCGCAGACCAAGGCATGGTCAGAGTCCAGATAGGTACTCCAAAAGGAGCGACAGTCTTTTACTCAACCACGCCAGCGGTAGCTGATCGCGATGTGATCAATCTGAGTCCAGGCTTGGGATGCAGAGGGAGGATGCCAGGTGGCACATCGGCGATGACTGTATCGAAAGTTAGTGCTAGCCAGAAACAGGTTGTGGTCTGTGCAAAGTAGCAGTAGACGGTCCCCGTTATCTGACCTGCGACCAACGAGTCCCCATCGGCCACCTAAACGACTCTCTTCTGTGCCTAGACGTCCGACCTGAGCATTCAAGTCTCCGGCTAGTACTACAATATCTGTCGAGCGCACTTTCTGGAGAACAGATAACTGGTGGTAAAACTCATCCTTGATTGCATCCGGGCTGCAATCTGTCGGGGCATAGGCGGAGATGACGAAAAGACATCGTTTCTCACGCCGATTTCTTCTCACTTTGATGGAACTTTCTAATCTAACAGCACATAACGGACTGTTAGTGGGGATTCAATCGATTAGTGCTGCCCCAGCTCTAGCGCTTAGTGCGACACCAACGCCAGCAAGACCAGACGAAGATGCCACGGGGTCCCCTGATAAACGCACGTAAACACAAGCTTTGTGAAGCGACAGATAGAGAGCGAATTTGTAGTACTTCACCAGAGTCTTGAATACGGGTTTCGGATAGACAACAAACATCGATATTAAAACTTTCCAAAGACATAGCCAGCCCTATCTGTTGTCCGACCTGCACTAGTGTGCGAACGTTGAAGGAAGCCAGTTTGAATGGTGCACGTGCTTTCAGAAAAACTGCTTCAGTGTTCGTATTTGGTGTTAGCATACAATTTTCAACCGGACAGTGACTCGAGAACATTTAGATGCATTCAAATTTCCACCAAAGACGAGCCGCTGTATAAGTATAAAAGAGGGTGAATAATGTGGAAAATAATAATAATAATAATAATAATAATAATAATAATAATAATAATAATAATAATAATGACAATAATTGTAATGATAATAATTTGAATCAATTTATAGTTTTTCGAAGCGAGAAAAGTAATTTCCATAGACATGAAGAGTTCATCATTCGTGTGTGGGCTGTGATACTGCCCGGGTGCCCAAACCGAAGCAGGTGGTTATGTTAGGGGGCCACACCCCGAGCCTTTAACCTAATGGTCTAACCCACAAGGCAGTGGAGCATCGTAAGGAGATGCAATCCCATGGTAGCCGGTGACCAACGATTGGTTCATACGCCATTTGTTCCAGAAGGATACTGGAGCCCATGTGCACCATTGGTTTGTGATCCGGTTAAAGCGCCGGACATTCGCTTTTCGTCCTCTCATTTTCGTAAACAACACCCCCACCACAAGAAGGCAATGAGTAGTACTTCCCTGGCAGAGGCTGTATACGCGCGGCCGTGTGAGAGTATTTCGAGAGGGTGAGCGGACTCTCCACACTCTCGGCCGTACCAGGGCATTCGGGGGCAAAAACGTTGGAGTTCTCCATTTATCTGCTACGGCTGATTGGCTAAGAAATGGCCAATTAACGTTATTCACTATTATTCTTCATGGAACATGCTTTAATCCAATCTATATCCTATTAACAATTCTACAATATTGATAGTACAAAGTGTATTTAAAAACAATGCATATTTGTTTAACATATCACCATATATCAAAGTATCAGTTAGATGTTTCAGCTTAACCTGTTGAGTTTTGCAAATATAACTTGTTTTCGAAGTTTGTTTTGTCAAGTATATGCTTTTCTTTATCACACCTGTATACTGAAAAAGTTCGATTTCTAATGAACAAATGTTTTGAAGTCAGTCTAAATAATTATTGTTTTCATAACTGGTTTTCATAAATAATCCTTACTGATAGACAAATGAAATAACCTAAATGTAATCTCTGGAACTAAAAAGATAATATTATGTTGTCTTTAGTTTTGGTTGATTTACATCTTCACTCAACCGTTAAACCTCCGTATACACATCACCCAGCTGTTGGAAAGTTTTTTTGAAACAGACCAGGGTAGTTAGGATACGGGTTACAGATGCCCAACTATGGCCTACCTTAATGCTATCATAAAAAGGTTGTTAGAAAGCTATGAATTGCCTAAATGAAACATGGCGTCAGTCCATAAAATCATTAACTGTTCTTCTGATCTATATAGGTAGGTGTAGGTTACCTGGTTTGAGTCCATATGATTTTTGTGACCAATGGTTGGACAAGCTTTACGACATAGTTCAGAATCTGTCAGAATGACACAAATCCATCCCCTCTTTGTTTATACCTAGATCTCAAGTTTCAAGATTGTTATGCTTTTTATTCAGAGAATTCAACCTTTCTTCTATCACTAATGCTCCTATTTCTACTAATTTCATATTTCTCTGGTGATATCGTGTAAGAACTTCTGGCGATCCACATACGTGCCCAAGTTGTGCTTTTTTATGATTAACGGAATTAAATAAGTGAAGCAATTATTTTCCTTAGGACTTTATTGATTTATCAAGTCATTCTATTTGGATTTTTTCCTACTTTTTATAACTGCATTATCCAATGCCTTTTTTGGTAGTTGTAATGCAACGCTTAAATGAATTTTTGGTACTTTAGTTCAACTTTAGTTAGTGATTCAAAATATTTCGATAAAATTTTTAACGTTTATTTAAAAATAATATTTTAGCGCTGTGTGCTAATAACGATGATGTTTTTGTCTTTATGTCAATCATAAGCAATATATTTGCATCGGTTCAAGTTGCCACATCACGTTTGTATAGAAAGATGAAATCATCAAGATGTGCACCTGAATAGTAGAAATAGTAATTGTATTAGTGATAATATAAAATTATATACAATTTCAGAGGAGAAAATGAATTCACGGAATCGAAATTGTACGTATTTTAAGACAGCTTAAGTATGTCTATTCTATTGTGACTGGTTCTGAACAATGCCACCAACGCATCTCTAACATTTGTTACGATAATCGCGAGAACCCTACTGAAGTAGTCTGCACTTACCTCAAGTCTCAATTCAACAGTAACTGAGTTTGGTACCACACCTTGGATTGGTTACCTATCTCAACATACTCCCACACCAGCTGGCATCCCACGTTAAGGTTGGCTGTGGTTAAGCATACGTGATACATTTCTTAGCTACCTCAGTTGATAAAGATTCGTAGCCTTATCAACCAGTTTCTTATCCATACCTAGTATCCTGTATATAACTCCAACATCACTCGATAGTCCTAGCGTACTGTAGCAATGTTTTAAGATTTATCTTGTTGAAATGTATTACTATTCTGTTATATTTCACTCATTAACTAATTAATTCTAATTTTCGTACTACGCACTTTTTTTAGGACTTTTATGCGATATTTTATGGTCAGATCCTGATAAAGATGTTAATGGTTGGGCTGAAAATGATCGTGGTGTGAGTTTCACATTCGGTCCAGATGTAGTTACTAAGTTTCTCAACCGACATGATATGGATTTAATTTGTCGAGCGCATCAAGTAGTTGAAGATGGTTTTGAATTTTTCTGTCGTCGTCAGTTAGTAACCTTATTTTCTGCACCAAATTATTGCGGTGAATTTGATAATGCCGGTGGTATGATGTCTGTAGATGAAAATTTAACATGTTCATTTCAGGTAGGTATCTTCATATTTTTCTCCATGTACTACTACTCTGATAATCTGATAATATCTCTTAATCGTAAAAGTAATTATATATATATATATATATATATATATATATATATATATATATATATATATATATATATATATATATATATATTCGCTCAATATAACAGCTGGGGTTGTGAAATTGATTAACTCATGTTCTAACGAGAATGGATGATAGTTAAAATTCTGAATCATTTACAATAAAGAAATAGTTTCAAATAATGTTACATAAAGGTAACTCATATGAGCCTTATCAGTCAGTCAGTCAGCTACAACGTAGGACCAGGCACATATATGCATCGGTCCAGGTTGCCATACCTCATTAACACAACAAGATGGACACCGGATTCATAAAAGCAGTTAATTCAGAAGTGGTAATATATAAAAGAAAGATTGCAATGAGGATATGTTACAGGAAGAAAGAATTAGTTCGTAGAAAGAAATATATAAAGCGATTTTTATCTCTTAGTTTAAGGGAAGACATAGTGTATACACCGACGCCATTGTGATCGATTCTGAGCCATGTCACCAAGAGTCTCCAACCATTAGTTACGATAGTCACGCGGACCCCAACCAAGTAATCTGCATCTACCAACATGGCTCAGACTAGAAGTTAGTGACTTCAAGCACTGATACCACGTATTGGTTTGACCGCCCCTTATTCTCTTCCAACCATCTCTAACACCGGTTAGCATTGCACGTCGTGGTAATCGGTGTTCGGGCCCAACCATCTCAGTCGATGTATGAGCCTTATACAGATAGCAAATAATGTAAATACATTTGTGAAAATCCCGTCTTTTAGAATATGCGCCAAATCTTTGGAATTTCATAAGTAATCTCTATGGTATGCTACTGAATGAACATACTATACAGTCAACTTGGTTAGTCCACATTATACTTACATAAGAAATAGACTCACATACTAGGTACTGATTCTGTCACTCGTTAAATATAAGATATAGAATAGATGTTCATATTTCTTACTATCTAAGTTACTTGTTAAGTTTACAACTAAGGCAGATTGTGAAGTAGTGGCCTAACGATCAAGATATTCGACTTTCGGCCACTAAGTCTAAGATATGAACTCTACTCCATTTAATGCGGTTTGGGCAACCGGGTGGTATCATTAGCATTCACTTTTAGAGTATGCCTCATACACACCAACGTTCCTGACTAATGATTTTATTTTATCCAGTTCAGCCTTTTTAGGCAGATTGAAAAGAATATAAGCATATGATTTTTATTGGATGGTAAACCAATCCTTAAAATCTGTCATTGACACATAGAATTGGTAATAATCCGCAAAAAAGAAACCAAATGATAAGGAATGCTATATGTTTTGTTGCCTCCTGTAGCATTTTTCCGTTTGATTCTGAATTTAGCAGCGCAGCACTTTTCTGTCATCGATTGGTGGTGTATCTCATGTATTAACCTATTAAATCTGGAGATGTACAGTCTCACTATTCGATTTATCAACTTTGTTTAATAATATTCTACGTTTACTCTTAATCTCACTCAATAGATTTATCACACAGGACCAGTGTCTCGAAGCCATTTCATCTGTCTTTGAATATAATGGGTTAACCTACATATATCTCATGTACCTTTTATAACTTTGAAGCCAATATAAAACAAATTGGTGTACTGTGTACATATTTTTGATGATAGGCAGATGCGCAAATATGCTAGTTTAGGAGTAAGTTGGAAGCTAAGGGCAAGCAAGTCAATACATAGCATCGATCCATGAAGTCATCGACTGTTGTTCTGAGCTATGTTCGTTGATGCCAAACCACTTAATTGGTGTCTGCGTGGTTATTGTAACCAATGGTTGAAGACTTTGGTTGACGTATCTGAGAATCGATCATAATGAACCCGATCCATTCCCTCTACGTCTTTAGTACCAGTATTCCTTCATATCACACCTTTTTATCCTGTCTTCTCGAGAACTATGTATTTTGAATGCTTAGTTTTTCTTATTATCATCGCTATTCCATTATTCCGACTATTTTGTAATTTATCTTGTTAGTTTCATGTCATCTTCCTAGTGTGGTATGTCAACTTGAAGAATTTCACATCTGTGCTAGACTCTGTGTTGATTATGATTGATTAACTGACTCACTCATTTATAATATCAATTTAATTTCATGTAATGGACGTATTATACTTGTACATTTATTTGTTAACGGATTATATTGAAAATATAGGTATGGAGATAGTATACTCTTAACTAAAATATCACTATGTTAACCATCAGTATAAATGTTCTTATTTTTCGCCATCATTTCGTGTATATATCCATTTCTTCTTACTCAATCAATACTTATATATGTAAATAGGTATGTTTTTTCTTTATTCCTCTGCCTGATGACAAAACTAGGACATATTCAATTTGTGTGTGGGTTTTTGTGCCAACATAGATTACTAATCCTAAAGGTTTGTAGAAAATCTTTTATCTTATTCCTTACGTGGCACTAATATGTGCATACTTTATATATATCACACTAATTTTGCATTCAGTCATCTGATTGTAGTTCATTGTCTCTAGTGTATACATGCGCACTTACGTGTGCGATTGATCTCTGTTTAGCAAAACAATGATCGTTCGCTTAGTATTTTTTTTTTTTCAAATGGGCAAGATGATGATAAATGTGTTTGTTTGCTGCAATTAGTATTACAAGTGGATGTTTCGTTCGTGGACACGTGTTATATATAGTGCCTTATTGATTATTCACATTATGATAATATAAACTTATAATAATGATATATGTTAACTTATCCTGTGGACTTTCTCAATCCATAATGAATAAGATGCATCTCAATGTATTTATACTTTAATGTTACTTATCAAAAGAATACTGATCTTGTCCAAATTCAGCTTAAACCCCATATTATATAGATAGTAGCATTAGTAGATATTCAGATAGCAACATCGTTTTGTTTCTTATCTACGTGTTATCAATTAAAGTTTGTATGAGATGTTACGAAAAATCCTTTGGTAAGTGTGGTAATGCCCTTCACGTTGACTACTTAGGTGGTTAAAGAAAAAAAAACTTAACTTTAAACCAATTAATTGAAGGTTCAAATGTTAAAACCCTACCACTCTTTTTGGTTTGGATACGAAATCATATCGTCAGTTTTTATTTTCTGCAATTAACCTCTCAAAGTCGAGTTTATAAATCTGTAAGTTGTTGAATAGATTGTATACTAAATTTAGTCACCAAAAGTTTATATTTAAACACTGGCCAGTAAGTTATCGAACTTATTACCTAATTAATATTAAAAAGAACTAAAATGGTCCCAAAATTTTCATCAAAAAGATTATTTGTAGAAAATATAGTATTTGATTAAGTTTTATCGATTAGAAAACTAAGATAATATGTCCTGGTCGGATTTCGTATAGTGTAGGTTTTGGTAACTGTATGATGTGCTATCTCAATTATACAGATGTAGTTATATATATATATATATATATATATATATATATAGTCAGTTGTCAGTTCATTATTATTAGCAGCAGTAAAGAGGGTAAACAATCGGATGCTAACTTTGTGAAGGTAACTACTGAGATTGATCCTTAATTAGGTCGTGGTTGCGCACTGCGAAGTAGTCTCGTCCTAGTACTAGGCTAGCAGGAAATAAATGTTCAGTACTCACCGGTTTTTAACGGCTATCTAATTAAGCTTCACCTTTAGTGTAAACCATAATGTATATTGTTGTTTCGATGGGATTGACTGATTAGTTTACAATTCTGTTTTTCTTTTGCTTGCCTTATGGCTATCTACTTGCTTTAGATACTTAAACCATCTGAAAAGAAGGCTAAATATCAATATCAAGGTGCAAACGCTGCTGGCAATCAAGCCAGATTGACTGCTCGAATACCATGATCACTATGTTCGTTGTCGATAGTAATACATGCTTCCATAAATGCTTATCATAATATGTGCGTAGCAAAGAACTGTCTGGAGTAAAGAACGATAAATCAAAATTTTGCTAACGAATGGTATTTCATCATATTTCAATACAATTTCAAACTTTTATGCTTATATATATATATAACTATTGTTCCTTAATTTTATTTTACACAAATAATGCACACAATATTTTTATTGGTAAATTAAAATTAACTGAAGCACATGTATTTACTATTTGGTTGCTTATTACGTTTACTGTTTGTGTATAGACGGCACAGGCACACATTACTAACAACGGGTTTAAACACTACTTCAATTATATGCACAAATCTTCTGAGAATAAAAGGATTATGGTTACAAATATTTACTCAATACCTGATGAGGTTTCTGTTTTTTGAGATATTTTCTTTTCCATATTAGTGAATGCGTCCACTGCTCAAATAACAACTACTCTCCTCATGTGTTTTATGTGTGGGTGTATCATATGCTTCTTCACTGTCTTACTATAACTAACGCATTCAGCGAGATGATACAACAATTGGGAACTGTATTTTGTCTATAAAATAGTTTCTACTTGCCGGTCGATCAGTTTTGTCCTAGTTGACATATTTTCACCCATAAACACACATGTCGTCAACCAAACTACTTGTAAAAAATGTAATTTTTCGATTCCTCCTAGTTTGTCTTTTCTTCCTTTCGTGCATGATAAACAACACAATACTTATTAACCGATGATAATAAAAAATTTTGTTTAAATTTTTCCGTACATACACCTACTCACTCCTTCCGCAATCACATTTGATATATGGAATACTATACTGTATACCTTTAGTTATGTGCTTTGTACTGCATCTTACCAAATGATGATGATGATATGAGTCAACATTTGAACAAATAACAAGATAAGTATCCAAAACGTTACATAGGTTTTAATTTTACCGTCATTTTGAAGTACCTGTTCATTCACAATATGCTGTGCTATATTTCATAATTTTTGAAAATCAGTTTCTGTGGCTTAGCATTCCCCTGCCCCCTCCACATACACTTGTCGTTAGTTTCTAACTCCTATAATTTTTCCTTTACCACTAATACTGCTGCTACTGCCGAACATGCACATATGAAAACCAATTTTTAGCGTTTTGAACGGATTAATCTACGTCTCTTATTCTTTTCTTTTCAGTTTTTATTCGTTTCTATTATATCTTAAGAAATCATTGGAACTTTTTTATCCGTTTAAGCATACTCTCTCTACTATGAATGCCTCTTTCCTATGTCTAACCTTCTCCACATCAACTGACTTAGTAGTAACTGCTGTTTTTAATCGAGTATAGTCGTAGCAGGTATAATAAAGAGAGTAGCAGTAAGTAACACACAAAATGAAGTGATATGATCTTCATATTGACCAAAATAACCAGTTCTTATGTCTGGAACCGATACTGAATTATTAGTTCTATGTGATCAATGATACACTTGCTAGACTTATTCGCATCAGTGCAAATGAAAATGTGTGTATAATTTACTTTGTTATCCTACTATAACAACCTTATTAATCCCTTCGGACGTCATACCTAATGATAAACAAAAACGTACACTTTGATACACTTCACACACCACTTGTTTGTTAATAAATCTTGTCTGTAACGCACTCTCATTTGTTAATTTAATTGGTGATATTCGTTTTTCTCCGGGATATTTTTTTCTATTAGTTACTCACCTACCTTTCTTTGTTCGAACTGTATGTATATTTGTTTTATTGTCCGTTGTCAGATTATTTCAATTTCTTCCTTTCTCTCTCTCACTTTCTTGTTTCTGAAGATTATCAGTGAAAAAGCAAAACTTATGACGGTCACTGTCACCTTATTTCTGACCATTTACAAACTATGTTTGTGTACATGAATAGTTCCTTTTTATTCTTTTGGTTAGTTGCCTTTTTTGTTCGTTTGTTTATTTACTAGTTAGTTCTTTGATAGTAATTATAAATATTATCCGTTGTTTTTTTTGTAATTGATTTTTGTTCAACAGTTTCTACTGACTTTCAGTCTACACCCTAGTTAAACAACTGTTGGAAACCAGTAGATGCTGTACACTGGTTTCGTCTTTGTATCGAACTTCTCAACAATGCGCACTCACAAAACCGTCGGGGGTCGAACTCAGGATCATTGACCCTCATGTGAAGGACTTAACGTTTAGACCAGTGAGTCGGCGTTCAGTGGTTTAGGTTTCTAACTTCAATCAACTCACAATATTGTGCAATTGCTCTCCGTTGCCATCGATGGGTAACTGACGTGCTTCAACTCTACTGGTCACGTTTTTTTCTTTAGAACTTCGGAACTTACCTCTTGAAGTTACTCATCGCTAAGCGTATAATTATTATTAGTGTAGAAGATCTATGGAGATTATTGGTCATGAAGTGATCCTAGTTAGATATCCGTTGAAAACCATGAAGTACTGAATAATCTTTTTATCTTATTATGGGACTTTCCAACTCTGGATATCCATTATCCCAGTCAGTCAGTCAATCAATTACAACGTTGGACCAGGCACATATATGCGTCGGTCCAGGTTGCCATACCTCATTAACACAACAAGATGGACACCGGATTCATAAAAGCAGTTAATTCAGAAGTGGTAATATATAAAAGAAAGATTGCAATGAGGATATGTTACAGGAAGAAGGAATTAGTTCGTAGAAAGAAATATATAAAGCGATTTTTATCTCTTAGTTTAAGGGAAGACATAGTGTATACACCGACGCCATTGTGATCGATTCTGAGCCATGTCACCAAGAGTCTCCAACCATTAGTTACGATAGTCACGCGGACCCCAACCAAGTAATCTGCATCTACCAACATGGCTCAGACTAGAAGTTAGTGACTTCAAGCACTGATACCACGTATTGGTTTGACCGCCCCTTATTCTCTTCCAACCATCTCTAACACCGGTTAGCATTGCACGACGTGGTAATCGGTGTTCGGGCATACGTAACAAGTGGCCCAACCATCTCAGTCGATGAAGATTAACAACCTCATCAACTGATTTACCGTCATTACCTAATACCATGAGTCTAACCTCACTATTACTTACCCGGTGGTCCCAACAGACGCCAGCAATATATCTAAGGCATCTGTGGTCAAATACTAGTAGCTTACGGGTGTCTTCTACTCTTAAAGGCCATGTTTCGCTGCCGTAAAGGAAGACAGAACGGACTGCCGCGCAGTATACTCGTCCTTTTATTGATAGACTTATATCTCGCCTTCTTCATTAGTGACGTAAGTTGGCAAAAGCCAAACGGGCTTTTCGAATCCGTGCTGAGATTTCGTCCGATACCAGCCCATTAGGGCTGATCAGACTTCCAAGATAAGTGAAGTTGTCAACGCGTTTGACTACTTCACGCAGGCCAATCCTGAAGCAACAACTTGCATTTAGAGGGAAAGAAGCGCATTCCAAACATTCTGGCATTGTTGCTTAGTGCTACCAGAAGACTGCATTTTGTCAGCGTCTTCACCAAACAGGACTATATCATCTGCGTATTCTAAGTCGATAAGTGGACCTCCTGGAAGGAGATCAATATCCGAGAATTCAGCAGTCGAGAATGTTATTTTCATCAATAGGTCTATGATGAAGTTAAACAAAAATGGAGAAAGTCGACAGCCTTGACGGACGCCACTTGAGGTTGCAAAAGTAGAATACAGTTCGCCATAAGCTCTGACTCGACTAGTAGTGTTTGAGTAAAGAGCCTTTACAAGGTTTATGTACTTCTGAGATAGGCCTTTCAATGACAGACACTGCCACGGCATCTCGCGGTCTACATAGTCAAATGCTGCTTTTAAGTCCAGAAAGACCACCATTGTCGTACGCCGATAAGTATTCCTATGTTCTAGAACCTGACGAATGGTGAATATGTGGTCGATGCAGCCAAGATCAGGTCTGAAGGCAGCTTGGTTTTCTCGTGTTTGCAGTTCACGAGTCTTAGTTAGGCGTTTGATTATTATTGAGGCTAGTATTTTAGATACTATATTTGTTAAACTAATCCCTCTGTGGTTGTCACAAGATGATTTTGATCCTTGCTTGTATATTGGAACGATAAGTGATTGCGACCAGTCAGATGGAATAACATCTGACTCCCAGATCTTAGCTAAAATATTAGTCAACCTAACAGCTTAAATTGGACCACCGTCCTTAAGGACTTCTGAACCAGCTGCTGTTCCTCGTTTCAGATTAACTATAACCTTTTGAACTTCAGCAAGAGTTGGGGGACCTACTTCAATGTTCCATTCACACTGTCTGGGAATGGACGGTAGTTGTAGAGTCGCTGAAGGCCAGCTGAACTGTTCCCTAAAGTGTTCCGCCCATCGTTCTAAACGTCTGGACTGGGAGTAGATGAGAGTATCGTCCTTTTCCGAAATAATCTCACTTACACTTGACTTATTAGTTCCAGTTTCTTTTATTAGTCTGTAGAGCTGTCTTGTGTTCCCTATAGCCGCCGCCTTTTCCATCTCTTTTGCTTTCGTTGCCCATCACTGCTCACGGTCGTTTCTTAGACTTTTTCTTAACCTAGATCTGATTTGTCGCTCTTCATCATGTTCGGAACCTGATGGGACGAGTTTGCGAGAATCCATCAGTGTGATAGACTTTGAAGAAATCCACTGGTTCTTTGTAACTCTGGTTTAAGTCACTAATAAATTTCATTGCTGTTTCCACAGATGTTTGTATATCTTTCCAAGCAACATCTGGGTCAGCCTCGTTTTCAGAACTACCTAAGTGTGACCTCAGTTGTTCCTGGAACTTTTGGTTTTCTCGTTACTCAACTCAGTTCTAATGGGTCTTTTTATCCCACAGACTTTCGAGTCCAGCACCATCAGTCCTTGTGGCAACTAGTTAATGTTTAAACCACTACTGTGTGGATGTTGTAGCTTACCCTATATATGAACAGATAACAGTGAATTGTGCTGTTCACAGGACAACTGTAGAAATGATTTGAACAAAATGGTGGTAGTCAACTTATAACTTCACGCAGTATTTTTTTGGTTACGCCTTTGATTAGTTTTCTTATCAGTCTTCGTTCACTGTTCAATTCGAATACACTGATTTGTCCTTTGTTAGGATGTCCAACTAATAAATATACAAATTGACCAATCTTGTAAATTAAGCATCTTATTAATTTATATTATTGTTCAATTTTTACTTTGTACATCAGTTACCTCATAAAATTGTTTCAGCTAAGTCTGAGTTACTCATACAGTAGTCTCACACGTATTCAATCAGTCATATGCTCATTATAATCCTGTGATAATCTGAATTATGACGTAAATATTTCATTGTTGGGATAAAACCAACGTTCCTAATTAATAAAAATAATCATTTTAATTGGTGTTAACATACATTGTATGGTTTTAAAAGCCACTAAACGAGTTAATTTAAAATATATTTCAACTACCGTAATCAATAGTGCGGTCACTAATTAAATCGTAGCACACTGTCCAAACAATTGTTATTAAGTTTGTTAACCAGAAAATGAACGCGTCAATATCTTACTATTGGTGTCAATAGTTGGATTATTCGATAAAATATTTTGGGTAACAGAAAAGGTGGGAATTAAACATCTTACATTTAGCCATCTCTCAGTTAATAAAAGAATAGGGGGGTTTGGTTGTTTTCTTGTATTCTAGAACTGATAATTTTATTTGTCCCTATACTATGTAATACATCCTTGGTAATTCCTAACACAATGTGACTTTGATGATAGATGATTGACTTTCATTATAAAACTCGAATACAGATTTAATACTTGTGGAAAAGAATTACCCACTATCCTACGGTGAATCAATCTTACCACCATGCTATTTGTATTACTGGCTCAGTGTTAAGAATAGTTAGTAAATTGCAGATGACGTCAAGTGATCGAAGAAGGTTCTATCCTGCATTTGGATATCTGGAGCGAAGCAAACGTCGATTCAGAATCAGCTAAAGAAGCCTGTCATCTGATTTAAAATATGGTTCAAACATAAGGCTCTCAAGTGTAGTTTGGACAGCTGTTCCAGGGAACAAAGTGATATTTCGTGATCCACTGACAGTACGTGTGAAAGACAGATGGAAAGAATTCATAGTGGAAGTGGAGTGAGTATTGGTTATATGTGAGCGATACCTTACTGTCAATACCCCCAAATACAATAGTGTAGTGAACGAAGATTGTGTGGACAACCTGCTTATGATTCACAATGTGTTCATAGAAAAATAAAACCAAACATTAAATACATTATTTACACGCCTTCCTTCAGTTGTCTTTTATGTGCTCCATGATTCTTTCAATTCTGTTGTTATTACAATTGCTCACTGTGTACATCCTTGTTCTCTTCTCTTCAATCTTCTACTGCCTGATATTCCACTTCTAATTAATGTTACATACTACTTATGTCTGTCAACATAAGTAGCATGTACCACAATAATAGTATGATCACCCTTGGATCTAGGTTTCGCTCCTTCTGGTGTTATCCCTATCCAAACGATCATCCTGTCAAGTTAAAACGTCAAATAACAAGTATACCAGACTGTAGCTCAATTGAGTCATCGCCACAACTAATTCGGATTACCATGTAAAGGTAATAGCTACGATCGAGTTAAGTGTTTCTTAAAATTATCAGCTTTTATCTCCGTTTATTACGTATATTCATGTCCGTTATAATCAAATACACATATTCTGAAACAGTGAAATTACCTAGCCAATTTGTATTGCGTTGTAGATTATCAATAACAATGATTGACTGGTCGATTCTTGATTACGATGGTTTTTATATAGACAAGTTTGATTTTTCTATTCATATTAAATTTAAAAGTTCCTTCATGTTATTATGTGCTTTGTGATCGAACTACTTGATCAAATCACAATAATCTAGTGAATGGATATTGTTACACTTTTCATTTACCAATTGTTTAAATAAAAAATATAGTGTATTTCTACAGTTGACAAACTTCTGCAGCTTTGTTATTTATTGGTTGTTGATT